AAACATTGCCCAGCTTGGTTTTTCTGCTTTTCAAAATCCAGTTTCAGTTTATAAGCATCCTTGGTTTAGTGCTCATCTACATAAAATCTTAATGAAAGTAATACAGGCAAGTCTTTTTTTACTGGTAAAAGCCAAGCTTGTTTGCAGTGCTTTTGAAAAAAGTCATACAAGAGGGCTTTCCTTTAAATGATACTCTGATGATTTTCAAGAACCTTATCCAAGACATTTTCCAGGATTTAGCATTATCATGTGGCACAGTGTGCATATCCTAAAGATGCAGCCGAGGGAAAGAATACAAGGGGACACAGAACTGCTACCCTTTTTATTTGAGTACATGTTCATACAACTGTTCAGAAAAACACTGTTAGCACTAGGCTATTTTATGCAAGCACTGTACTTACTACCTGTATATAAAACAAACTAAGCATAATGTGAACAAAAGAACACCTGCTATAAAGAGATAAATGTCTTGCCAAGAGGGGAAGAAAAAGTTGTTAGCTCTTAATCCTGTAAGTATTCAGAGTGCAAAGTAAAGGGATGATGATCTGCTTACTAGACTTCTGGTAACATCCAGCTGTTAGCCTAGTGCTAACAGTGATTTTCTGAAGAGTCAGCTTGTATCTGCCTGCCCCAGCACAATATCTGACCCACTGGATTTAGAAGCTTGGAAACGATGAAGTGATAATATTATTAAAAATACTACATATGAAAGTAGCAGTACAGGACAAGACAGATGAAGTCTTTGCAAGAGTTTTACTTCTGACAGAAACTTTTCTCTTGAGTTTCCAGGCTGAGTACATAAACGGCAGGAAGTTTGTTTTTCACTGGGAGCTCTCAAAGCACTTGTAGGGTCATAAGGAAAAGCAGCCTAGAACTAGTCACACTTCATTAGCAGTTCCAGTTCAGTACAAACCTGCTGCTTGTTCCAGCAGATCGAAACATAGCAGCCCAGCATAGCTCACTGCTCCTGTCAATTGTAAATCAGGCGCGCTGGCTAGGCAGAGTTAGCCTTACATACCAGTAACCTGAGTTCACAGGACAAGGGCAACCCTCATTTGAAATGATTGGGCTGTCTAGTTTGCAGCAGTGGCCACAGCAAATGACACAAGGATGCAGGGGACACTTTGGTGCCAGTGGAAAGTTGCACTTCTCTGGTTCTCCACCACTCTTCCCCGCTGCTTCTGTTGTGTCCACCCCAGTTAGGTGCATCTTTCAGTACTTACAGGAAGGAGTCAGTGGGAACTTGGGAGTATGTGTTTTATCAAGTTAATTAACCTGATCAAACATGTTTGCCCTGTTCTAAGAGAAGACATAAAAACATGACTTGTAGTGCTTGGAGTAATGGAGATCCATCTAACTACAGCAGCTGAGGCTGCGGTCATTACATGCACAGAGTGATTATGTTCAATACGTGAAAACAGAGGAAGCGGGTCACACAACTGCATTTATACAGCTAGGTTGCTGGTGTCAGTTAGCAGTTCAGACCCAAATCGGGCTGGGTTGCCTAGAAAGATGAAAATGAGGCTTTAGGTATACGGCCTTTCTTAACAGGTTTGAGCTGAAGATGCAGAACCTTGGATATGGCTCCAAAGTTCAGTGACATTTGAGTTCAGCGTTTAATTTCAGGAAGCATTACTTAGAGTCTTCAGCCTTCAAGTTCTGGTCTGGATGCAAAACCACATCTGTATTTTAGATCCATCTTTGGGTTTGGATCCTCTCTGATTCCTTCCAATCCTTACACGATGGAGTAGAGGTATCTACAGCAAACTTAGCAATACAAGAGATTTTTCTATAGAAAGTAGAAAACCACACCATCCTTTGAAAAAAACCCTCATTCATACCTGACTTTTGCCACATGGGAATTTGGAGGGGAAGCTTGTTGTAGACCATGATTCCAGTGACAGTGTTCTCTCGTTATTAGTGAAAACTCTTATGTTTGCATCCAGAAACATGTTCATGCTTTCCAGTAACATCATAAACCGGGTCCTAGAGATAATGCAGTAGAGGAAATACCAATGACTTGACATAGGGTGTGTTTAACAATCCACCACTGAAATTATTCACACTTGAGTTTGAAATGGGAATGTATCATGGGAGAAAAGCCTGTATTCCACTTTATTCTCTTCTGCTGGCTACCAGACATTTTATTTCACATTGGTGTGAGGTCCTGTAACATGAGGATATTTCCTGGGGAAAGCAAGCAAGTATAAATGGGACAGGGAAGCTTTGCAAAAAATATCTGTGATATCACAGATGTCTGGCTATGAGAGAACTGGTCAGATTTTTCTGTGAGGAAAACAAATTCCTTAAAAAGACAAAGAATCGAGATTATATTGCCATTGCAAAAAAAAAAAAAGAAAACAAAAAGTCTCTTTTCTTTGATGACAGGATAATCAAGTTTGCATTTGGCTAAAGCTGTGATTCCAGATTTGTTTTAACCTGATAAACTGGTGATACTTCTGAAAAGGGCAGCTCCCTTCTGTCCCCATCTGCAGCTGCTTGTTCACACTGGCTTGTTTGTGTAGGGCTCTGTGTACATGTGGCAAGACAGCTGAAGGACCGAAATCCAGCTTTTGATGAAGTTACTTTTCAGTTGGATGAATTCCCAGATCGATCCTGTGACCAGAAGAACATCAGCATCAGCCCAAGGGCGGAGGCGAGAGGGAGAACCAGGCTGCCTGTTTTGGCAAGTGCGGATTTTGTTGACTAGAAGTGACTGTGCAATCACAGCTTGAGGCAGACTTATGCTGCCCCTTCCACAGCTGAAGCCTCTTCTCATCTCAGAGACCACCTGAAAAGATAAAAGGCTAAAAGGCTAATGCTTTGATACCCAAGGACGTGGTACAAACCCTGGAAAACACAATTTAGGAATCACTTTAGATCTGTTTCAGTTTTCAAAATCGGTTATTTTGAAACTGCTGTGGGAAGGGGGGAATTGTATACTCAGTAGTTTGTATCATCCCATAAATAATTATATTGATGACAGGTATTTAATTTATTCATTTTTCTTACGTAATTGACCCACTTCATCAACTCTGTGGTGATCCTATCCTGATCCCAAATAGAGGATGGCTTAAAACCCAGTGCAAGAAGTTTTACTGTTTTTGCAGCACTTCACATCACAGTAAACGTTACAGGCTTGCACATTTTCTTTCATATCAAATCTTTGACTGTTACTCAGTTTTTTAGCCTCAGCTGCTGTAATTTCCTGGCCAAACATGGGAAATGATTGATTTAGTTTGCAAGAAAAAAATGCTCCGCTTCACTGTTAGGAAAAGTTACCAAGTAAAGAGGTGGTGAAATACTGCAAACACAGCTTCTGGGCAGGCTGAGGAACGCCTCTGAAGGTTTTCAAGAACAGGCTGGACAAACATGGGCAAATAGATCTCAGTTTGCCTGATGGAGGCATTTGGACTACGTGAGCTCCCAACGTGTCTTCACGCTCTCTGTGTGCCAGTAACAGCCTGTAGGATACTTCCATTGTGCACCGTGTGTAGGTCTAACCATCTACTGTGTAAAAGTAGGAGCAGGGGGAGAGGCCGGAAAAGGGTTTTCTGTTAGCTGACAGGTGGGTAAGTTCTTCTGATAACATACTCGGGGTCAGCATCCTCCCAAAGGGGGGACAGGCTCTGCAGGAGGAGCACCGACAGGTAGCTGGTGGTGCTTCTGGGCTGAACGCTTCTCCAGCCAGAGCGAGCCGTCATCCCTCTCCAGCTGGACAGTGCAACCATTGCTGAAGCAGGCCTAGTTTTGTAACAGTGTGAGAGCAGAAGATGGTCTGGAGGAAGCTAACGGGTACAAAGAGGACAGCTGGTATAGGAGCTAAACATAATAAAAAATCCTCTTTTTCTGAAGGTGCAAACATCTTTTCTAGAATAATGACACACAGATGTAATAATGTACAAGTTACAGCCATGCCCAGCAATTACTTCCAGTATAAGCAGGAAAAGCAGGTAAAAAACAAAGCAACAAATACATCACCACCACAATAAGCAGTGTGGCTACACACTCTAGTACGTGTACTCTGCTGTGTACTTAGTCTTTTTATTTCAAAAAATAAGCAGACTTTATCAGCTTTTACTCTCTTCGCTAAAAACAATGGCTATAGGTCAGCCAGGATCTGTATGACCTGAGCCCATAGTATCACATCTTTGTTTCTGCGTCCAGTAACATCCAGAGAGGAATGTTGGAACTTGGACTTTGTTGGTCCAAGCTGTACTCAGGTTACAAGCTTTCCAGCTCCTACTAATCAGGAATTTCCAGAGACAGGGCATTAATAAGCAAAAAGAAAGGGTCAAACAACAAACTTAAGACAACAAAAAATAGAGGCTATACTCTTGAAGCTTTGGGGTGATGCTTTACATCAAAATGTAGCAGAAGAGGGCAGAAAAAAACATTAACTTTGCAGTTTATCTCAGTGTGGGCATGCAAATGTTACTCTTCTCTGGTTAGAGGAAGAAGCAGTGGAGGTGAATTAGAGAAAGAAATACAGAATTCTGCTTTCAAGAGGAAGGCACCTTTATAACCCCAAGTATACTAGGGAGCAAAAACTATTGCAGAAATAATAGTACAGTTTAATTCTATTTAAATATAAAATTTTAAAACACCGTGTCATAGCTTCAACAATAACAATGTTAACAAGGACTTGTACCAATTTTTGAAGAACTCAAGGCAGATCAAAAGTTTGGAAATGCTCAAGTGTCCTTTTTAATGCTTTACTTACCCATTCAGTCCAAAATGCAAAACTTACTCTGCTTAAACCCCTGAATCTCACATTTTAGAAAGCCAGTCACTTCATACTTCAGTGTGCACTGTGGGACCTGATCAGTTCCAGGAGTTGTTCATGTTTTTTCTTTACACTTTACAAATAAGAAGCCAGACAGCAACAGCTACAGCTGTTTTTCCTAGCAAAGAAAACAAAAACATTATATAAATGTTTACGGTCAAATCACATTATAATAACATTTTCCAGATGAATATATCTACTTTTAGAGATACTAATGAATATTTATTATTTGCTTCCCTATAGAATTTCGTATGATCCCACAAGATATCCTAAATACATTCCTGAAGCATACTGTCTGTGCAAAGGCTGCCTCATGGGGATCTTTGGCGAGGAGAATTTTCACTTCCGCAGCACCCCTGTGTACATGCCAACAGTCATCCTCCGTCGCACGTCCTCGTGTGCTGGGGGCCGTTATGTCTACACAGAAGATTACGTCACTATCCCAGTGGGCTGCACTTGTGTACCTGAGCAAGAAAAAGAGGCCGAAAGTGTAAATTCCAGCATAGATAAACAGGAAATGAAGTTGCTGGTAAGCCAGAACAAGCCATCATCAGAATGAATAATATATGAAGAGTCGTGTTACAGTATTGGCTTCACATCATCATTTCACCACCTCAGGAAACTGCACCACAGCAGCAAACACATTGACTTACCCTCTTTTTCTACTTACAGTTATTTCAGTTACAAGATGGAAAGTTTTGTCCAGTCACTCAGATTATTAGAGATGACAATTCATGTTAAGAACTTACTGAGTTCATGTAAGTACTCGTTGCAAATTCCAAAGTAGCTTTTTTTTTCATTAGAGCAGAACATTTTATCCTTGCTTATTCACAGTAAATTTTAGAAGATGATGCAACTGTAAGACACGCTAGCTACTACTATAGCAGACTACTGGTTGTAGATATTTTTAAGGAATCTCTTATACTCTACTTCTAAATACTCTTATATAAAAATCACATAGCTGCCATACATGTGCCAAGGATAATTTCTCAGGCTGGGAGAGCCTTCTTTTGTGTTGCATATCTCAACTCCAAGCAGTGTTCTTGGCTGTTATATCTTTGGCTATTTATACATGACAGCAAGGAAACCTTTGCTGAGTTTAAGTCATTCATGAAACCATATTCTATGAGTTTGCTATTTTTAAACTTGCCAAATTGCTAAGGGTACAAACGCGTTGAGAAAAAGCATGCTGGAATATTGTAAAACTGCAGTGGGCTTTTCTGATGTGGACTAAGTCTAATTACACAGAAAATATCAATTAGAAAAAACACAGTTTGGGTCCCAAGAATTCTGTATTAGATTGCATTCATTATTAACCGCTTAACTGTTTCTTGTGACAAAACTGTACTCTGTACAGTTGAAAGGTCAAAACCTTTTTCATGTTAGGAGAGGAGATTCCCCATTAAAAGTAATAAGTACAAAGGATAGGCTTCATTTCAGGAACACTGCAGATCAGTAAACAGGCTAGGTCTTAACTTCTAGATCCTACAGGGGTCATTGAGGTGAATCCCAGCCAATCCAAACTTGTTAAATCCAACTGATTTATACAATTAGTGTTACTCATTTTTCCCTGTGCTACACATAACAGACAATCGCCTGCAAAATATGCTAGTCTGCAGAAGAGCAGTTTTCCATCTTTGCAGCTTACAGGAACTTGATGGCAAGTCCTAACTGGAAACCCTAGATACACAAAAACTTGCATTTCCAGAACAAGAGACTGAAGGTTGGCTCAGTCTGGTGAATGAGAATCAGGAATAATCAGGCATACTTTGCATGACCGTAACTCCTGAGGGCCACAGTCACCAAAGTTGATAAATCTCTGAATGCACAGCAGAGAACATCTTTTACAGTTGAAGGGCCATGACTGCGGTAGCATTACAAAAAAGAATAATCACCATATGCAGCAATGTATTTGCTACATCAAGAATCTCAAAATTGGGCTTAATTCATAGAGGAGAAAGTCCCTACGCTACACAAACACACACTCCTTTGGAGTGTTGTTGGATGAAGAATGGAAAGACTGAGCTAAACAGAATTAACAAGTTAAACAGAGAATGAAAATCCTATGACAATTCCTTGTCTTGGTGCATAATTATTGACTGTGCTCTTTATGACTCAGTCTGGTATAATAGTATTTTTATAGTGCAATCAGTATAGCTTCTTATAAAGCCTAAAACAACTTTAAGAACTCCGGAAACCAATAAAAGATTCCCATCACAATGTCAGAGTGAAGTTTATAACCGCGTTTCTTGTGCAGATGCTTTTCCACAATTCTGTTTGTTTTCTGATCTGTGTTTCCTCAAATTGTGATGCTTCTACTCAAGGGGATTCTCAAAGGAGGGTTCAAAGAAGATCTTAAAGTGTTTATACTACTCAGGGAACAGGTAATTGCCTAGCTGCTGCCAGCAATTAAAGCTAGTTACCTGTTCCCTGGAGAATGTAAATACTTGAAGCAATTACAGCCATTTTTCCTTCGTCCTGATGTGGAAGAACTTCTCACCCTCTGAGAAGAGGGAAATGGTAATCAAAGACAGAGGGGCTCAAAAGGGAAGCAGACCCGCAAAACTGGAGAAACTGCATTAGATGATGCTTCAACAGTCTTAAGATCTTACAGTTTCACTATTAAATTGTGGTTTTTTTTTTTCTCCACACACACTCTTTAGACAGGGTGAAGTTGTACCTTCAGACTCCACAGCATAGAAAGCAAGGTCTTCACAGTAAAAGGCAGTAAAAAAACCCCAAAACAACAAAAAAATCCCAAACCACACAGCCCTTAACATTTAGTAAATACGCAGAAGGGCTACCAGCTAAAGCTCTGGCTAAACACTGCCCTCCAGCAAAACTCATCTGTCTGCCCACACACTTCTGTTTTACAAGTTTGTCTGCAACAAATTAGTTACTAGAGCACATGGATTTATTTGCTTGATGTGGAGAAAAAAAAAATCTCACTTTTTGTTGCAACACTCTTGTCCTGCAGGCATAAATTATGGAGTCAGTTTGAAGTTTTCAAGTAACTAGAGCATGTTCTGAGAATTCCTGGGAGTCACAGGCTAAGATCAGGTAAATGGAACACAATCGGTTTTGCCAATCCAGAAAAACAGATGCTTTAGCTTACATATAGCTTCAGGAATTGGATGACTGAAAGGAAAGTGTTACAGAACTGCAAAACCTCAGTGGATCAATAGATTATGTATGTTGGCGACCTCCTTCTCATACTGCAACAAGTGCAGAAAGCTTCCTATGGTTACAGGCAACCTCGTGTTATCTTACGCAGAAGCCAGTTTCCCTTTTTTAATTCTCGCCCTCTTCTCTCTTCTGTGACAGACATTTTAGCTGAGCCAATTTGCTTCCCGATCCAGCTTTCCAGTTAGGTGTCTCTTAAAAGCTATGTTTATGTTTTAGCATGAGTAACTGTTTGATAATAATTTGTTAGTGAACAACTGTTTGTTAATACTTAACATCAAGAACTATTAGCTACACAAACATTTATTAACCTTCAAAATATCCTTCCATATATAAACCCTCTCCACATTACTCATGTGGAAAAGGTTGAGTATTGAATGTAGTTTGTATTTGTTTGGAATTTTTTTTTTTTAAAGAGATCATCACATCATGGATTTATATCAGTTTCACTTCAACCGTGGTGTGACATTTTCCAGCTTCTAGCCTGCTGGTTACAGCTGCTGCAGCCTTGCCTTTAATTTGCATGGGGGAGGGACGGTTCGTTGGAGTTGCTTCAAGGCTCACAAACTGTTGACACAAGGCAGACATGAAATGCCTCATTGAACCAACTCCAGGCCCAATAAATGCAAACAATTCAAAGCTGAAACTCTCTGGCAGCTGCAGCTGATTTGAGAAAATTTTTGTTGTGCCAGGAAAATCTTTTCCTTCAATGAGGTTGTCCCTGGAATACATTAGGAGCCACAAAACACAGAACAATATCCTTGCTAAAGAGATTATTTTCTTCTCTGTAGTATCACTTAAGATGGGTTGGAAAATTCATGTCATTCAGGAAGATTGAGAAGAGGCTGAGATGCTAGTTTTGGTTTACTAGCCAGTCATTACATGAAGGTGTCTGAATAGGCAGAGGTCTACAGCTGCAAGTAAACGTGAAATCGCGTGGGGGAACATGAACGTGAACATGAAAGCAGCAAGGGAAAAAGGCTGTGATGTGCTCAGAAAGTATAAACACCCATTAATCTCGCTGGGATTAGGGAACAGCCACAACTACCTGGACTAGGGCACATGAGGGAGATCTCATCAATCCTACATGTTTTGCTGAGTAGTGGCATGAGCTACCACCGGTTTTGCTGTACTCCCATCTAAGGAGGCTGCAGAACACAAGTAGACCCAGACACCGGCTGACGAGGGGCTTCTGCAACCCGAACCCAGCTGCCCTGTTTCCCACCTCACTGCACGGCACTGGGGCTGTGCTGTGCAGGTAACTGAGGGAGGGTGACAAAACCAACCATCGGAGGTATTTCCCACTTGTTCTGGTACAGAGGGGCACGGGCGGAGGGGCGGAGACAACCGTGTGGTACAGACAGGCTAACTGTGCAACATCGAGCTGAGAGCAACACCATTTTTAACGGGAAGTGCAGATTAGATCTTAATGGAAGCAGTGTCTTGGACTTCATGCAACAGCATTTCTAGAAATGTTTCATTTGTCATCTGGGGTGAGGTGCAGGCCGCTGCAGTGTATTCTCTTTCACCTACAGCCATCAGCCTGTGCACAAGACCCCAGGTTTCCTCTGCCAAGTGTCACGTTCATACCGACAGCAGGGCATTGAGATGTCCTGCTGCTGCAGTGCCTGTTAGTGCAGCCAAGAAGCTGTAGCACATACAACTCTGCAGTCATAAATGCCACTGGAAAAGCAGCATGGTGGTAACACTCCACCACAGGCTGTTCCAATAGAAAGTCCATCCATGAGACATCCACAATAAAGCAAGTCAATCACTACTTGACACTGAAGGGTTTTTTTGTAATTCTATTACAGAAAAAAGAGAGATTTTGCTGTCACATAGTATTTCTTAAAGTTACTGCGATGGCACAAAGTACAAATTCACTATGAATTTTTGTGACTTGCAGCCTTCTCAGAAACACGGCCACTTCCTTGGAAACAAGTATGACAAAAATAGTTTACCTCCTATTATTGATGAAGGCTGTGAATGCCACTAGTCAAGCTCTACTTGGGCAGCTGCCTGCGCTCACCAGGCTTTTAAGAGGAAAGCCGGTGGACAACGGGCTGCTCTGTTGAGTGCATCTACACAGATTCACATGTACCCTCATTTCATAATCGTGCATCTTCACAGTGCCTCTTTTCAAAGCCATCTGACCTACATGTGAGAAGTAGCAGTTATTTTCTCGGTGAACTGAATTTCTTGGTACAACTGAATGGTGTACTTTTATTTTTTTAAGAGAGGTCTCTGATGAAGTCAGCAAACTTGTTTTTTAATTCTGATACAGAGAGCCCAACACCACACATTTACCAAAATGAAAGAGACAACTGAAGGAATTAATAGCAAAGCAGCAACATAGGTGAAGCTTGTATTTGAACAGCATGTTCTAATTTAGGTGGGTGGTGGGGGAAGAATATCATCCCTTCTGGCAATCATACCTGTCCCACTTGAAGCCTTTACGTAGTTAAAAATAAAGTTTCAGGAGTTACTTCATTGTCTCCATCTGCTTGGTGTGCAAGACATTGAGGTAATAAACAAAACAGTTTACAATTGTGAAGTATAGATTTGTGCCAATACCTATGCATTTAACATTCTGGTTTGCTTCATTTTGAAACTGGCCACGTAGAAGTAACGGCACAGCCTCCTGGAAAACAGCTAAACCCAGCTGCGTGTCACCTGCGGGCAGTCATTTTCAGGGGGGGATTCTGGCTTTATTGGGCTCAGCAGCAAGGAAGGCTTCTGGTTCGAGAGGCAAAACTGTGTCAGCTGTGGGCTCACGGAGACTGCCAGAAGAGCCCGGTCTCCGCTCTCCCTGCGAGCTCTGCCCCTGCTGCACTTTCCTCGTTTTAACAATACCTATTACCAGCCTGATAGAAACCGAGGCGTGTGAAAGAGAAAGAAAACTGGTATCATTAAACTCAGGAACACTATACGGGGGAAGAGGGGGGAGGAAACAGCAGATACAAAATGTGAGGAGGGAAAAGCCTTAAGAAGTGAACAGATTTCTTGGAAAATGGGGAAGAGAGCAACAGTGGCTTGGACAGGTATTTATGAACCAGTGTTGTGTCCAGCTCAGGAAGCACAATCTTCTGAGTGCGGAGAGAGGATTATATTCCATCTATGTTATTCCTGCTCATTTATTTACTCCACCAGATGGGAATATCTGCATCCAAACAGCAGAAACACACAGAAACATGAGTATTATCTCTACCTTATTAAAAGTCTTGTCTCACAAGCTTAATCAGGTTTATCCCCACCGCAAAATAGATTTCTTAATACTTCATTTTAGGTGCTTCATTTTGTAGATGCAGCATTTCTGTTAGCCTTTTACACAATCCCAATATATAAATATGGCATATAAAGACAAGTATTTATGTTTTGTATAGTACATTTATAGCTGATGAAACTGTTGAGTGCCTTGGAATTTATGAACCACCTTTCACCCAAAAATACATTAGTGGTGTAGTCAAAAGGTTAGTCAAAACCGGCTTTAAAAATTTCCCAGTTACCAAAAAGCTCTACTGTCCCAAAGCAAAGTTTTTCTAATGTATCATCTATTTTGATTGAAATATAGCCGAAACCTTGTATATAAAATTTAACATTTGTCTTTTAGAAACAGTGGGAGTTTATCAATACATCATGTTATACCTCAGTGGCTTTGTAAGATTCAATGATTTTTAAGATGCTTCTATTCTACTGCTCTGCTGCTGCCTGTGGAACAGGAGGCAAAGATAAAACTGGGCAATTGGAAAAAAAGGACTGTTCTTGTCACTACAAACTTGACATCATCTTTAGCTTGATATTGAAATCTGCTAAAAAGCAGGCACTGTATTTAATCAGATCCATTACGATTCAAGATTTAAGGGACTAACATGATACTACAGAAGTATCTCATAACCAACAGTAACTCAGAGTGACAACCCGTGAACACGGTCTAATGCAAGGACTGGCTGATGTGTTGCATTTTTATTTAGTAATTACTTCATATTCAGGTGATTTGGCCTGACTAATG